AGTTTATTAGATTTCTGGAAATTTTTTAGTCCATTGATCTTAAAGTTGTCAGGACTCTGTGCTCAAGAGTACCTGAAGGTTGGAAATGGTTTTCTCTTACAATTTCAAGGGCACATCCCATTGTGTCCTGGTTGGTATTATCACTGTGGAAAGTCTCGTGTCTTTGTGGTCGTCCATCCTTTACGTGCGACCTTTGTGGGACCTTGTCCCCACCCCATCTGGACACTTTCAGGACTTTCTATTATGCTCATCGTTCTTTAATTTCATGGCGAGACTTGGTGTGGCGCAGTCCCGTCTACTGCTTAGCATTCTCAGCTCTCTAAATTTGGAATAATGCCATTTAGGGGATATTTTCTTGTGCTATTTACTTCTCTCCCCTTTGCTATGGTTTGAAGGTATCCTCCCAAAAGCGTCTGGGAAACTTAATCCCCAAAGCAGCAGTGCTGAGGTGGTGCCCAGTGAGAAGCAGTTAGGCTGTGAGGACAGAATGGATGGAAGCCATTATCTCGGGAGTGAGCTGGTTGTAAAAGAGGGAGTTTGCTCTTCTTTCTCTCCCTCCCTTCCTCTCTCTCTCCCCGTCTTGGCCCTTATTGGACTCCAAACCTGCTGGCACCTCATTATTGAACGTCTCAGCCTACAGAACTGTGAGAAATAGATCTCTGTTCTTTATAAATTACCCAGTCTCAGGCATTCTGTGGTAGCAGCACCAAACAAAGACACCCATTAGTATTTATTCCCACTTTCTGGAATTCCTCTTACTAAGATTTTAGGATTCCTGGATGAAACTCTAATTTTTTTTTTTTTGAGACAGGGTCTTGCTTTGTCGCCCGGGCACCATTGTGGCTCACTGCAACCTCAAACTCCTGGGCTCAAGCAATCCTCCCGTCTCGGCTTCCCAGAGTGCTGGCACTACAGGTGTGAGCCACTGCGCTCAGCCTCTTTTCTATTTTTAAACTCCTTTTCTTTCTGTTCTAATTTTGGGAGATTTCCTCAATGTATAACCCTTTTATCTACATTTTAATATCACATTTTTAATTTCTAAGTGCTCCCTCTTAGTCTACATATTCCTTTTATAATACTGAATTTTACACCATTCTGTTTTATGAATGCGTTTTCCTCTGAGATGACTAATTTAGTTCTTTTCACATGTTCTTCTGGTCCCTGCACCCACCCTCCTCCCTCAGCATGGGGCTCTGTCTTTCCCTCGAGTGTCTGAGGGTCCTTGGCTATCTGTCCCCTTGCAGGGGACAGCCCAATGGAGCAGCTGGCACCCTTCTGTGCCTGGCAGGATTTTCCAATGTTAGTTCCACTGCGGGACGACTGGGTGGGACGGGGCTATTTCTTCTGGTGTCCCAAAGAGCAACATGCGGTCTCCCCATCGTGTCCTGCTTAGCCTGGCTGCTGGCCCCCTGGGAGCCACAGGGGAAGGACTAAGCCCGGTGTCCCCTAGGCCAGAGAGCCCCAAGGTTTATCACCTCCGGCCTGCTGTAGGAGAATGGGAAAGTCACTTTACTCTGATAGCTGAGGATGGGCTCTGGGGGCCCAGCTGCTTCTCACACAGACTCCTGGACAGTCCTGGAGTGTTCAGCCCACCTGGGCAGCCCAGCCGGCACAGGTGCCCAGGCCACTCCACATGTACAGCACCAATGCAGCTCATCTCTCTCCGACCTCACCTCCTCCTAAGAAGTGGAGGAAAAACCCAAAGAGATTTTAAGTAACAAAATTTACTAAAAGTTCATTTGCTTTCTAACGTTATTCCTGTGTGCCAGGAATCCTACGTAATTTTGCTGGATCAAGTGCTAAACAGTTGCTGCGACGACTGCTGAGTTTTGACGTAGATCTAAGCTCTGCATGACGCACCTTCGTATTCTACACGGAAACCAGCTGCATGCTCTGTTTCTAGAGGAAGTTCCTGGAATCCGGGTGCGGTATACTTCCAGCCTTGGGGGGACTTTGTGCTCCTCCATTTCAACAGCAAAGCGGGACGTTAGCCATAGCTGAGTGATTTCCATCGTCAGTCCACATGGCCACATGGAGTTTTCATTTGAATTCACAATTTTTTCAACTGCGTAGACTTCTGAAGGCCACTAGGGTTGGCTTCAAAGAAACAAAGACAGAATCAGTTTCTGGAATGTACCATTAAACAGGTTATAAATCTCTGACGTTGCATCTTCTGTTCAAGGTTCTTCCTAACTGTGTGTCTGTGGTTTTAAGTGAAAGAAAATTTTCAAAATTCAGGTTAATAAAAAGTGCTCTTTGATCAACATGGAAGAAAAACAGATGGGCAAACATGGCTGGAGTGTCTATTAAAACAGCATAAGAAAAAGACCAACTTGACAAAGTTGTCAAATTTACAGATATTAAAACTCAAAACCAGAAACTGGACTATGATGTTTTTATTCACAAATGTCAAAATCTGATATATTGGTATAAGTACTCCTCCCGTCTTGTTTTTGGAAAAGTACATTAATGTAATGGCAGTTTTATTTAATTTTTTTTTTTTTCAGATCTCGTTCTGTGGCCCAGGCTGGAGTGCAGTGGCGTCATCACAGCTCGCTGCAGCCTCCAATTCCTGGGCTCAGGCAATCCTCTTGCCTCAGCCTCCCAGCCTCCCAGTTTCTAGGATTACAGGCATGTACCACCATGCCTGACTAGTTTTTTCTTATTTTTTATAGAGACAGAGTCTTGTTATGTTGCCCAGGCTGGTCTCAAACTCCTGGCCTTGAGGGATCCTCCTGCCTCAGCCTCCCAAAGCGCTGGGATTATAGGTGTGAGCCCCTGCACCCATCCTGATGTAATATAAGTTTTAATCCATGAGTGTTTTCCCTTTTTTGTAAAGTTTATTTAATATACTTGCCTCCCTGCCCTGGCCAAGTGGGTGAGCCGCTGCCGCCCACGGCAACACCTGCTCTGATCCAGGCTCAGGCTGCATCTCTCCCCAGGGGCACCCACTCCCTCAGGTCAGGGCACCAAGGCTGCCTCTGTCCCCATCCCCAGGCTTGAACCGTGGTGCTCTTTGCTGTTCCTGAGACCCCAGTCCCCAGGGAGTGGGAAGATGCTGGGGCCCTTGCTGAGTCTGTCCAGGGACATCCCCCCACCCTCAGTGGGGTGACTTTTGCTTTCTTTTTGGCAGGAAGAAACCCCTGTGGGAATCCCCTGAGCAGTCCAACGATCAGAGTGAGTCACCCCTTTCTGAGCCAGCAAGAGGCGCGTTCCCAGGACATTAATGTCACCCACTTCCGAGCTGGTGGGTGGGGTGGGCTGGCCACTTCCCAGTCAGGGCGCGCCTCTGAGCGCCTCTGCCTCGAAGGCTTATCATCCAAATCTTTGTTTTAAAGTGTGTGTGTGTGTGTGTGTGTGTGTGTGTGAGAAGATATTTCGAAAACAGTAAAGTGTAAATAAACAAAGGCATTTTCGTGGCAGAATCACTGGGGCAAGTATTGAGATCAGCCCGCACGGTGCTGTCCATCCCCGGCCGTCTCTGCCATGGAGGGTGGCAGGTGTCCGTCACGCTCGGGAGAGCCGGCTGCGGTGAGGCCGGTGGAGCCACGGCCCCTTCCCCCGCAGGAGGCAGGGCGCTCGCTGCAGCCGGAGCCCCACGCCACGTGGCGCGGCCTCCGCGGTGCATCCGGGAGGGGCCGCTCCCTGCACTGGACGCTCGGTCAGCGCCTGGGCCTGAGTGACAAGCCCTCGACCCTGCGGGGCTCGCGGCGACTCAGTCTCAAAGAAGGCCACGGAGCCCGGTGCCTCCGAGCTCCACCGGCCCGAGCTGCCCCGTCACGCGGGCACGGGCAGGGGACTCCGACCCCAAGCCGAGTGTGACGCAAGCGGCGCGATGCCCGCGCTTCTGGGGACAGCGCGCCCGCGGAGCCCGCGACGCAAAGCCCGCCGTCTCCGGGCGGCCCGCCCGAGCCCCGGGCCAGGAGTCCCCGGCGCGGCCCTCCCCGCGGGGCAGCCTCCGCCACCGCCCCGGGGCCGCAGCTGCGCCCGGCGACGACGCCCCCACGACACGAACTCACCGCGCCGCCGTCGGAAGTGCGCAACTCGGACGCACTTAGCCTACGTCCAGGGCATCCCACCGCCCGGGAGACGCGCTCCCTTTGGCCCGTACGGTGTGGGCCCCCCGCACGGAGGCCCCGCTCGGCGCGGTTCAGGGGGCGTCCGAGGGAACCCGGTCCGGGGCAGGGCTCCGCAGTGGATCGCGCGGGAGGCCCAGCAATCCCACAGACCCCGCAGGGCACGCTCTGCTCGCGAGAGGCGGGAGGGCGTTTTAGGTACACACAGCGCGGAAGCGCCGACCAATCCGCGCCCTCTGCGGCTCTTTGCGCGCTCCTGGTAGGCTTTCGCGTCAGGCCGTCAGGGGGCCGGGCCAGCAACGGGGCGGACCTGACCAATCGACGCCCGCTAAGGTCCCCTGTGGGCTCGCCGGTAGGCTCTCGTGTCAGTCCATCAGGCAGGCTCGAGGCGGGCCGGCGGGGCGGCGGCGGCGACGGCGGAGGCGGCGGCGGCGGCGCGGGCACTCAGTTCCCGGCGAGTGGCCACAGTTGGGTGAGGCGGGCGCGGACTGTGCCCTGGGCCGGGGGCGGGTTGCGGGGTCGGTGTTGGGCTCCCGCGGGGTCGGGGCCGGGGTCGGGGCGGTGTTTGGCCGGGGGCGGGGCCGGGCCGCTGCCGGCCTGAGGGGATTTCTCGGAGGGCCTGGCCGGAAACGCAGTCGGAGCGCGGCCGGCGCCGGAAAGTTCGCGAACGCGCGCGGCTTTCCACGGGGCGACTCGCGCCTGGGCTCCCGCCGTGGATCCCGCTCCCAGCGCCCGCTCGGCCGGGGTGGCCTTTCTGACCGCTCTCCACCTCTCGGGAGATCGCTGTTCCCGCTCAGCGTTTCCGGTCCAGGGGTCAGGGTCGAGGGGCGCCGCCGACCCCAGGGGCCGCCGCTCCGGGACCCCTTTGGCACCGGGAAGCCCGCTCGGGGGGCTGGGGCGTCATGTGCGTGCGTCTGTCTGCGCCCGGTTCTCAGCCGTAGGTAGGTGGTGAGGACTGGAAATGGGCCGAAACCCACGGCGACCCCCCGGGCTGCAGAGCTGGGGACCCTGGGGCCGGGGCCGCCGGCCACAGAGCGGGCGGCGTTGGCCGGACCGCGCGGCTCCCTGGCTGGAAGTGTGGCCGGGCCGGCAGAGGTCACACCTGGCCCTGCCACGTCGCTCCCGTCCGCCTCTGGCAGGGGCCGCATCTCACCTGCGAGGAAGGTGGTGTTTAGTGACTCAAAGTTACTGTTTTTAGGTGGAGGCCCCAAACAACCCAAAATTGATGTTTGAATTTTGCCCTTTAAAAATACCTTTATTGCAATATAATTTGCATATCACAAAATTCACTGTTGTTTCAGTTTTAAACAAAAGCCTAAGGGTTGCTTTTCTGAAGGCCTTGTCAGAGCAGTAGAAAGACTGAGTGGCTTTCCGCAGGAGTATCCGCGAGGGACCACAGGGGCCTGGCGTAGACTCTGGCACACGGCAGGGACACCCAGCCTCTGACAGGCGGGCTGTCCAGAGTAATGGAGCAGATCATGTAGCATGCTAGGCGGCAAGGAGTGCCGGGTGTGGGCAGGTGCTCTGGAAAGGCCTTACTGAGAAGAGCAGTGTCCCCGACAGCCATGGACAGGGGGAAGATTGTGCTGGCTGCGGTGAAACTGGCCAGCTGGGAGGCCACTGGGGGCTCTGAGGGGAGGAGAGTCCCAGTCTTAGTCCTGTGTTCAAGGTCCCTCTGGCTGCTGGGAGGAGAGCGGGGGCCTGGGATGGCTAGGGTGGCAGCAGGGAGGCCAGTGCAGTGACTTGGGCCACAGTGGATGGTGGCCTGGGCTTGGCAGCAGCAGTGTGGTCAGACTTTGGATGTTTGCGGAAAGTAGAGCCACCAGGATTTCCTAATGCATTGGAGGTGGGTGTGTGAGAGGAAGAGGAGTCAGAGTGTCTGCAGGAATCTGGCCTGAGCTACTGAAGGGGGTGGCACTTCGTGGGCTGCGATGGGGGTGGCACAGCTCCTGTGGAGCTCTCAGGGCCAGCTGGAGGTGCAAGTCTGGGGTCAGGGGAGCAGTCAGGTCCAAAGTTGTCCATTTGGAGTTGCCACATTGAGGTCCCGGGCGGCTGAGGGTCGCTGGTGAAGAGCACGGAGCCCACGCTTGGAGTGGTGGAGACGGGGCTGATGGTGTGGTCATCCGGGTGGTGGGAGACAAGGACTGAGAGCAGACTCTGCTGTGTAGCCACATGATCTTGAAGGGACAGAATTACTGCATCATTATTTGTCAGTAGCCCTAGTTTTTAATAAAAGAAGGTAAATGTATTGATTGTGTGAACAGTTATAAACCAACACTTGTAAGATCAGAGAGGTCCTCTCCTGCAACATTTTCTTTTGATAATTTTGTATAAACACTTGTTAGGAGTTAAAGTTGTTACCAAGCTTATATTTGGTATTATGCTGAGTCTGAGAAAGATGAGGTTCCATATAAAACTATAATATTGAAGTGGATTTCCAGTACTTGGGGGAGAGGTCTCATACTCATGGCTGTGCACAGATTGAAGCTCTTGAACATTATCTCAGTGGGCTTGATAAATAAGTGGGTAAGCACTGGGTGCAACCAAGCGAACTCTTACGTGGATCCCAGTATTGTGTAAAACAGTGGTGGGCTAGTGTTGGAGACAGGAATTTGAGAAGTTTGAATTTCCAGCATTTGGGGCATCCTGGAGTCTGCCTGTGAGAAGAATGAGACCACAGGTTGAACCCGAGCATTCGCTGGTAGCAAGGCCACCCCAGCAGCAGCCAGGTCACACCCATATCTGATTTAGTGTCATGGTTTGGGCAGCGTTTGACTTTCGTCACAGCTCGCCCTTTTGAGAGTTACTCACTGATGCCACTGAACCACGTTCACACTCCAGAGTCCGGACGTTGGATCTCAGTTGCCAAGTGACTCCACCTCAGAGTCTCCGTGATTTCTTTCAGGAATGTCCTCTTCTCCCCTTGGCCCTGCTCTTTCCCCAGGACAGTGGCACCCAGGCTGGAGCTGGGCACGTGAAGGGAGCATGCAGGCTGGCTCCATCTGCAGCAAAGGGGTGCTGGATGCCTCTCACTCTTCTATTGGAGGGTGTTGGGGGTTCTTTTATATTAAAACCTCATGTTGAGCTCTCTCTTTGCCATTTTTAATATTATGAGACTGGATTGTTTGAGAAATGTGGATGGGTACACCATAGTCAGGATTTCACCATCTTTTTTAGCTCTTTGGGAATAGAAACTCCATTTTTTTGTTTTGTGTGTAAGTGCTCAGTGTACATCCAGATGTGTGCATGGTTTCTAGTCCCCAGAATGCCCCATCGTGCCCTTGTAGGCAACACTGGTCTTTCCCGAAGGTAACTGTTATTCTGACTTCTATTGTCATAGATTCGTTTTGCCTGTCCTTGAACTCTGTATAGCTGGAATTATTCCTAAATACTGTTTTGTATCTGGTACAATTGCCCTTTTAACAAAATGTAGGTGTGTTGTATAAAATTAGTGCATTTACATCTGGAACACATTTTGGGGATTGAATTAAGTATAAAATCAGGGATTATGTTTGTATGAGGGTTATCGCTCACACACTCAGATATCTAAGTCACTGCAGCTGGGTTTTGTTTTTGTTTTTAACCATCTAAGCTGATACAGTCGGGATTTTTAGAGTAAAACTGATCCGGAAGCCTGAAAGGACCAGCAGTGCATTCTATTTCCAGGTTTAATTATTAATAAAATCTGACCTCTCACACCTCGTGTATGTACGAAAGGCAGGAGCAGCCCAGGCCGTCTGGCCCATGCACCAGGTCTCAGTGTGTGCATTTGGTGCAGGCAACCATAGTGGCTAGCCGAGGGAGTCCCCCTGCCTCCGCTGTGCCTTGTGTAATTAGATGAGTAGCCCCGTGCAGGCCACGGAGAGCTCCCAGGCCTAGGCCAGAGGAGGTTTGGATAGATGCCAGACACTGTAGAAGTGTTTTTCCCCAAGTTTGAGCAAATTGGGGTACTGTGTCAGAGAGTTTAATGGGTCTGCAGGTTTCAGTGTGCTAAAAGTTCTGGCATAGCACTTTTGGGTCTTCAGGGTGGTTTTCATTACAGCTCTTAAAATGTATTTTTGGATGAGATTCAAATCAAACGTTTAAGGAATCCCTTAAGCACTAAGAAACCCGGTGTGCAGCATGGGCATGGATGGGCCCTGGGGGCCTGTGACCGCTGCCTGCCGTGGGGCTGGTGGCGTGATGCCTGGTAAACTTCTCAGACTCTCAGGGTTGTTCCTTCATGGTTAGAACAGGAGCAGTGATCCCCGTCCACCCAGCTGCATCAGGACAGTGTGGTGGCCAAGCGAGGCCACGCCTCTGAGGAGTGACAGAGGTTGAGGCCCTGCTGGGTTGTGGCCTCTTCCCTCTTTTATCACTGGAGGAAAAAAGACCATTTTTGCCGTTCTTTTATGTCTGGCAGGAGTAAAAAATTGATGGATTAATAAAATGGACTTATTCTACCACAGAAGCTGTGGCCATTCAGGCCAAAAAGTGTTTCTCCAGCAGTCCCCTGCGGTGTTTAGGAGGAACGTCGGCAGGAAGGGAATAAAGCCTCATCTGAGATGTCACAGGACACTCCTCAGCGGCATTGTGAACAAAGAGAACGATCACCCCAAAGCCCCCACCTCACAGGGATCTTCATTTCTTATTTTACCTCCTTGCCCCATCTGTATACAGACATGACCAGTCACAGAGGTCTGTATGTTCTTTTTATGTAACATTTTATATCACATATAAAATAGGGTTCAGACCTAAAGAATGTGGCTTTTTTTTACTAGTGATATTTAAAAGTAGAAAATCCCTCTGTCCAAAGTGGCTTAGAGCAGTGCTTTTAAACCATTAATGGTTCATGAAATCAATTTAGTAGCTTCTGACCAGAGAAAAGAAATAAAATAGAAATCTCAAAATGCCTCTTGTGAAGAATAAATACAGTTTTATGAACCTTTTAAGTTATGTACATGTGTGTAGCAAATCACCACGTAAGATGAACAACATGGGTTAGGCAGTGAGGAAAACAGAGTGCCACTGTGTGGCCGTGACAGTGACATGGGTCGCCTGGCCCTCACAGTCTTTCTTGAAGGGGACAGCAAGGCCCCTGTCTTGGGGCTGTTGTCCAGGCATAGAGCAGTCAGCGTCCTCTGTCCTTACTGGAGAAAAAGAGGAAAATGCATTTGTCATTTCAATGTTGCAATGGTTTTGAGAGGTCATTCCTTAATTTTAAAAAACGCAGCCTTGAGGTTGCACTCTGGAGGGAAGACTCTCAGGAGGCCATGCGTTCCCTGCGAGGCCAATCTCTGCCTCGTGCCTGCCAGTCCCCATCTCCCTGGGCTCCCTCCAGGGAATTTTGCCAGACACCAGGCCCCTCTGCTTCCTGCTCTGTGTTCTCAGAGCATACTCCACCCTACTGCCTGGAGCCCACCTGGCAGGAGCAAGCCCCGCCTTGGGGGTGGGCGGTACGGGGAGTCCCTCCTGTCTGGGACAAGCCTGCCTTCCTGCTAGAGAGACAGCTCCAATTCCTACCTCTTTTCAGGCAGGACCCCTGACTGGGGACGGAGTGTGCCTCACGCTAGCTGTGGCCTTCAGGCTGCTTTTGGAATGGGGAGTATGACAGGTGAGCATCAGATGACAAGTGCCACTTGCAGGCACAGCAGGAAAGCACTGTGTGTTCCAGGTGCACAGGCCACCCCGGTACCAGGCACAGGGCTGCTGAGAAGCACAGGGCCTGCTTGTCCAATTCAAGGCTTCCTCTGGCACCTTGGAGAAGCCTAGGCCCCCCGACTCCTCCATAGGTGACCGTCCTGCCATGTTCTGGTTCATGTCTGTTCTCGTGGGCGTCTCTGACATGGACATTCCCTGTGCCTGAGTGGGGCTAGCACACATGGACTAACGTCACTTCAGTCAGAAGCTTTAAGAGCTTTGTACTCAAGCTTTACCCACACCACTCTTGGGGTGTGGGGTACTGAAGTGTCCCCATTGTGAACAGCAGAGGACAGGGTGGGACTGGCATGTGGTGGGGGCTCTGAAGGCCATGTGCTCGGTCTGAAGCAGTGGGAACTGTGATGGCAAACAGGGAGTGGGACAGCCATCACCAGATGGGCCACACTCCTGGTCTAGGGGGCTGGTCTGATGGTGTGGCCATCTCCTGGGTGCCGTCTAAGGCCTGAGTGCTAGCATGTGGGCATTTCCTCCCCAGCAGGTTTGTTAAGATATGTTCTAGAAGCTATCCACCATTCTCAAACGTATGTATTATAGGAACCTCAGGGAAAAAGGGCACAGAGGATTGAGGACCACCGACCATCAGTGTTAGCAGGAAGGTGGCCTGTTCCCCGAGCCGGGGGGATGTGTGCAGCAGGAAGCCGTTGGGTCTGTGCCTCTTGGGAGTTGTGGGTCGTGTGTGTGGGTGCCAGCCGTGTGGTCACCTTGCTGAGCCGTAGTTTCTGTGTTAGTAGCAGGAGGTTGCACCAGGTTGTCTCCAGGGCTCCCCAGAGCTCTAGAGTTCTGCTTTCTAGACTCTTGACCACAGGTCGGTTGATGGCATCTCACCATTACCTGCTGCACGTCGCTGTGGACTTCGTTTTGTCTTGAGAGGGTTGTTCTGGAATTGAGGCGTGATGTGCTCTGTGTTCTTCCTTAGGGCTTGGCAGTTCGCGGGGGTCACAGCTCTCATGGCTGCAGCTAGCGTGAGTCCCCCCAGCTCCCTGGACTTGCTGCAGCCTGGCTTCTCCAAGAGCCTCCTGGGGACCAAGCTAGAGGCCAAGTACCTGTGTTCTGCCTGCAGGAACGTCCTGCGGAGGCCCTTCCAGGCCCAGTGCGGCCACCGGTACTGCTCCTTCTGCCTGACCACCATCCTCAGGTGCGTGTGGCCAGCAGGCCCTGGGGGAGAGGGGATAGGCAGGTGGTGTTGGCTTTAGAGCATGGCAGCAGCCAACAGCCTTGGCCCAGGTTAGATGTGCTCGAGGTATAGATAACTCCCTGGATTTCAGAGGCTTAGCACAAAGAACATGAAGTTAATAATGTAAAAATACTAATTCGAAATACTATTTGGGATATGTGTGTTTTAAATACAATATATCATTAAAGTTAATTTCATCTGGTTTTTTGGGCACTAGAAAGTTTAAAGTTAGGCTACAGCTTGCTTTCTGGCTGCTCTAGATAGTCAAAGAGGAGCCTCGCCCTGTGAGGCGACGGGTCGTTAAGTGTGGTCTGAGAGGTGAGAGGCTCTGTGCCCATCATCAGTGGGCTGGTCCCATCGGGAGAGCAAGCAGTCCACGTCACTGTGTTTCTGGAGCATTTGTCTCTGGGTGGGGAACTCTTCAGAGCGCCTTGTTCACAGGTGGAAGGGATGATTCGGCCTCAGGGATTCAAACCCTGGGTACCCCCTTGCAGGATCCAAATCTCCTCATCTACTGTATCAGTAAATCTTTAAATAATTGTACAATTAGTATTTGCTTGTTCTTGTTAAAGATGAGAAAGCTTACAGCAATGGTGGTGTGGAGCTGAGTGTTTGCACTGGGGCAGATGGCGTTCATTTATTCTCCATCGTAGGTTTCACAGTGAGATTTCTTCTTCCTTTTTCCCCACTAGCTCTGGGCCTCAGAATTGTGCTGCCTGTGTTCACGAGGGCATATATGAAGAAGGCATTTCTATTTTAGAAAGCAGTTCGGTAAGTAAAATGTCTTGAAGCTGAAAATGTCGAAATGAACAGAAATGTTTTGTAATTTCCTTTAACAACACCGGTGGCAGAATGAAACTTTAGAAGCTAGAGATTGCTCCTTAGCAAACTTGATGGTTTTAGGGTTTGGAAATGTTGGCACCAAAGGTGAGTTAGTCCTCAGGGAGCCGCCACCGCGTGGAGAGCAGGCGTTGGTTTGGATGACTGTGCTGCGCCCGTCCTTCACGCTTGATAAACAGGCGTCAGGAAGGAGGCTTTACCTGAGGGCTGCTCCTCTCCGCAGGCTTTCCCGGATAATGCTGCCCGCAGGGAGGTGGAGAGCCTGCCGGCCGTCTGTCCCAGCGATGGGTGCACCTGGAAGGGGACCCTGAAAGAATACGAGGTAAAGACCGGTGTCCTCGCGCTGGCACAGTGGCTGCTTGGAGCCCGAGTGTGGTGTGGTGGCTGAAGCCCAGCAGTCAGGATCATTCTCCCACCGCAGGTCTGACCTTGGCCTGCGCTCTGCTTTCCTGAGACAGCCTGTCTGGATGGAGAGATGCAGCTGCCCCTTGGAGTCTGTCCATTTAGAAACTCAAGTTGTGCAGAGCACAGCCCCACACTGTGTGCCTCAGTTTCCTTGTCTGTCAGTGGGGTGCAGTCCTCTGCCATCTTGGGGTGGAGGTGAGGGTTGGAGGTGTCCGTGCTGGCGCTGAGAGCACTGTAGCTATCTGAGCAGCAGCATTTCCCGGAAATGGAGGAACGATGACCTCTGCACTGGAGACTGCAGCTTTCAAGCGTGGTGGGATTTTTTGTTGTGTCTCTTGTGTCCTTAAGGGGTTCTTACTTCAAATTGTGTTCACGCTAGAAATTGCACAAATAACGGTCACATTTGTTCTGTGGTCGCAGAAAGGCTTCTGGCTAGTGACAAAGGCAGTGGCCTTTGCTTGATGTTGCTGTGGTTTGACTCTGTGTGCCAGGCAGAGTGGGCTGGCATGCCTGTGTCGGCATAGTGGGCATTTCATTGTGACCCTCATGTCACCTGTTGGGCATCTGGCAACTAAACCTGCAGTGTCGAGGCGGCCACAGCTGTCCAGGTGGCACAGCCTTCCTTGTCCTAATGCAGCCCTTTGTCCAGGAACGTTTGCGGCAGCGTGTTCACAGTAGCCGGAGGTGGAAACAACCCACGTGTCCATTGACGGATGAGTGGGTAAATAAAATGTGGTCTGTCCACACAGTGGAGTCTTTTTCTGCCCTAAAAAGGAAGGACGTTGTGACACATGCTACAACAGAGATGAACCTTGAGGACACCGTGCTCAGTGAAATAAGCCAGTCACAAAGGACAAACCCTGCAGGATTCCACTGGGGTGAGGTCCCTAGAGTCGTCAGATCCATAGCAGCAGGAAGTAGAATGGTGGGTGCCAGGGGCTGGAGGAGCAGGGGTCGTTGTTCAGCAGTACAGAGTAACAAATAGGCCCGAGTCTCGAAGTGGGGAGGTGCCTTGATGCCATCCAGTCCGGCATGAGGCTGGTGAGGCTGTGAACAGCTATTTGCTGGGAACCCCAGCTTTCCTGCGCTTAGGGGAGCTCCCGGCCCAGGGCCACTGAGGCCCAAAGCTCACAGAGGAGCCTTGTGCCAAGGCAGTGGGTTGGGGTTCTGAACTGGACCCTGGGCACTGCCCGTAAGGTTTGGAGTTGGGATCCTGAATTACTGATGGGTTTCTCCTGTCCTGCTCCCTGCCTGTGTGCCTGATCATGCTTCCCTCATTCTTTTGACCAACTCTTCTTTGTGGTCCTTGGGCCCTCAGTTTTGTTTTGCCAGAAGAGCAGCTTTGGCCATATTTGGGGTGAGCAAGGAGACCGCTCTCCTTCCTAGCATGGTGGCCCAGGGCATGGATATGGAGCCATAGCTCTGGGCACTTCCCCAAGTGAAAGGCTGCTGCCTCCTTGGGCAGAGGTGCCAAACGTTCTAGGCTCCCGAGACACCGTGGGGCACATGCAGCTTTGGTGGGTAACGTTGTACATCCCATACCCTGCTTAGCCAAAGAGGCCTACGACTTGGTTGTTGCTTGGTGCTGTCTGAAAGGGACATGGCCCTCTGGGGAGGTCACTGGGGTCAGGGTCTCTCCTGGGAGGGTGCCGGGAGCGGGGATGATGTATGCTGTGCTGCCTTTGGGGGGAACCAGTGGAATAACGGTCCCTAGCTCTGGGCTGGGCTTCCAGTCTCTGGGGTCTCAGCTGCCTCTAGGCCCATAATATACAAGGTTTGCGGCTGTGTGGGCCTCTGGCTGAGGGCCAGGGACTGCAGCCAGCCTGTGGGCTTGGGCACCATGCGGCCCTACAGGCATGCGGGGTGGAAAGTCCCCGGCTGCGCCCTTTGAGAGCTCTGGAAAGTCCCTGAGAGGAGTCAGGTTTGGTCACGTGGGGGCGGGCCCTGCTCTGGGATGCCTCTGTGGTTGCCTTTGATTGTATTGATAAAGCCTCTCACTGGTTATAAATGTCACAAACAGGGCTTGGGATCCAGTCCTCTGTGTGTGGCTGGGGTCCCTCCTCTGCAGAGTGGCCCTGCCCCTCATCTACCAGGCAGGCACGTGCTGGGGTTTTCCTGTGAAAACTGGTACCAAGGCTAAAGCTTTTTTTCCTTGATAGTCTGAATTGTTGAAAAAAGGGGCGAAAATCCTGTTAAGCTTTTTTATGTTTTTCCTTTGCAATGATGCCTTTTTGAAGGGCATCCTTTCAAGAACTGAATGATTTTAAAACTAAAAACTGTTGGCCAGGCGCAGTGGCTCACACCTGTAATCCTAGCACTCTGGGAGGCCGAGGCAGGCGGATTGTTTGAGCTCAGGAGTTCGAAACCAGCCTGAGCAAGAGCGAGACCCCGTCTCTACTAAAATTAGAAAGAAATTAATTGGACAACTAAAAATATATAGAAAAAATTAGGTGGCATGGTGGTGCATGTCTGTAGTCCCAGCTACTCGGGAGGCTGAGGCAGGAGGATCGCTTGAGCCCAGGAGTTTGAGGTTGCTGTGAGCGAGGCTGACGCCACGGCACTCTAGCCCGGGCAACACAGTGAGACTCTGTCTCAAAAAAAAAAAAAAAAAAAAATGTTTATGGTGTGCCTGTTAAGTGCTAATAGTAAAACTGAATTTCACAGCCAGCCCTGGAGCTGCAGGTGCTTAGAGGAGGGGCCCTGGGTGGGGGGCGGGGTTCAGGAAGACTTTCCAGAGAGGATAAAGGTCAGCCCCACGCCAGCAGGTAAAGGCTAGGTCAAGTATGCTCAGCCACACTTCATGTTCAGGTGAAATTCAAGATGCAATGACTGTATTTGCTTAAAACATTTGGTTTGAATTCTGTTTGAACAAATACTGATGTCTTTGAAGGTGTCTGCTGGAGGGAGGGAGAAGACAGCTTTGCTCTGATCATGCAAGGAAGGTGGTGGTACAGATGCATCTGCTGCTGGGCGGCCTGGGTTCAAGTGGGGATCTCGAGCAGAGTGCCAGGAGAAAGATTGTGTTACTGAAATTTCGAGCATTTCAAACATACAGCACATTTGAGAGCAGAGGCCCACCACTGCCCTGGGGCCCTCACATACTGCCCCGAGCACTGACCAGCCAGCCCCTCCACGCTTCCAGCCACACCCCGTATTTTTCCTTTTCTAGATGAGTTTAAAGCAGGTGGAAAATGTCACGTCATTTCATCTGTGAGCATTTCATTGTGCATTACAGAACGGTCTTTTAATTAAATCTGAGTACCTTAGCTATTTGTGCTTTAGCTTGTGTTTCATAGACCATAGTAGTGCCCGAGGCTCCTGTTGGGTTCAGTTTGATAATTGCTGTTACACGCTCAGGTGGCTGAGGGTGGCAGTGGGGTCCCCACTGTCGTCGAGTCGCGGAGTTGGTTCCTTCAGCAGGTGATGGTTGGGCCTGTGCTGCTGGAGGTCTTGGGGGCTGGGCCCATGTGCCCTGCCGGGTGCCTTTGAGGATTGTCTGCCACGTAGCCACTGTGCCTGTGTGGAAGTTCAGAAGGAATGTCCCAGGGAGGTTGAACGGAAGCTGGCCCAGGTGTCCCTGCTGTCACATACGGTGTCAAGGGGCTTCATGTAGCTCCTGCATGTCCTGGTCCTGCCCCTGGGGCTGGTTTGGGATGCTGCTCTCTGGGACCAGGAACATGTGGGACGCTCCTGTGGGGTCATACCTGTTGGGAGCCCCAGCACTGGACCTGGTAGGCTCTACCATTTCAGCCACTCGGCAGGGTTCTCTTTGGGCTCAGGCACGAGCTTAGGTGACAGGCTGGGCCTGCTCTGGGAGGCACATGGTGTGGGGTGCTCTGAGGTGGTGTGGACACCACCTGGATACCACCTCTCCATCCGGGTGCTCTCTGGAGTTCACCTGTCGCTTCCTGCTTGTTCCCAGAACGACAGGCCCTGGGAGCGTGTGGGTGTGCGTCTGCAGAGCCGTCAGGGCACACAGACACGGCACGGTGTGCTGGCCGGGGCTTGAGAAGCGAGGCAAGGTCGGAAAGCCCGGGAAGCTGCCACGGTAACAGCAGGAAGAACGTTCAAGGGGGCAGGCCCAGGGGAGGGAGAGAGGGCTGGGTCTCGGACCTGCTTGCAGAGCACTGTCCTGGGAAAGTGGCCTCTCCTGTGAGCCCCACAGGTGCTGCCCCACAGACAAGGGCGTTCCCTTGTCTAGAAACCCACCCGCTTCCCAGATCCTGAAAGAGGGTTCCTCACCCCCCATAGCAACTTTTCCTGAGTTGTCTGCGGGACCCTGAGCTACAGCCCTGTGGGGAGGGGACCTGCAGGCGGGTCCTCTCCTCCCTGGGTGCCCTCGCATCTGCTAGGACCCTTCCTCTCTTAGCGTGTCTTCCTCCTTCCTGGCCATCCTCTCTTGTCGCCAGGTTGTGCCCATCGGCACAGAAAACACGCACTAGTGTCTCCTGTCTCAAACCTAACGCTGTGCTCAGCGAGATAAGCCAGGCTAATGTGATCCCACTCGCAGGAGGCCCCAGTCGTCAGACCCATCGAGACAGCGAGAGGGACGGAGAGCGCCAGGGCCGAGAGTCAGTGTTTCCTGGGGACAGAGCGTCAGGCTGGGAGGATGGAAAGTTCTGTGGGTGGAGGGTGGTGATGGCTGCACAGCAGTGGGAATGTGCTTCGTGCTCCTGAGCTGTGCGCTTAGAAGTGGTGGAGATGGTAAATTCTATGTGTGTTTTATCGCAAAAGAAACTTAGCCTAGAAATCTTGTCCAACTCTGTGTTCCTCTGACTGCAGCTCCTTTGTCTGTCCCCTTCATAGCTCGCTTCTCTTGAAAGACTTGTTGGAGTTCTGTTCGTGCCTCATTGGCCTCCTGCAGAGGCTGGTCAGGACCCAGGGGCTGACCTCATCCCTCCTGTGGCCTGGGCCGGAGGCCTGGGGGTCATCCTTGACTTCTCTCTGTTCTTGTCAGCAGCACTCTCAGCCAGCAGACCCACCTGGCTCCCCAAACATATCTGGGATCCAGCCCTCTCTCCCCCTCCCCTGGGCCTGCCCCCTCCTTCTCCGGCTTTCCGGCCTTCCCTCAAAGTCCTTGAAGAGTTCAGTCAGACCTTGTCACCTTGATGTCCAGACCCCGCGCAGTTGGGCATTGTCTTCAAGATGGTCTGCGAGGCCATGCCCGGGGCGGCAGCAGGCCTGAGAGGTGGCTGGGTCCTGGGTTCCTGACCCAGCGTGGTGAGGAGGCAACAATGTGCCTTTCCCTCCACGACCTCGCGCGCTGCCCTTGCTCTCCCTGGGGTGCTCCACAGGCCCCTCCTTGTAGCACCGGGTTCCTGCCTTCCCTAGACCATGCCTTGTGGCGCCTCCCCTGGCCTTGCTTCCCCCACCGTCTCTCGTCTCACTGGCTGAGGCTTTCCTGCGTCGGTGGCCACCAGGTCTTCAGTTCGCAGGGCAGTGGCTCTCAGCACTGGGATGAGTGGGCTGCTGAGGGGCCTGGCTCCGTGGCCACCTTCCTCATAGCATAGGGCCGTCTGCCTTACGGCCTGTGCTCAGGCCTCAGCTGGGTGGCCAGGCCCACAGGCCTCCCTTGCTGTCTCCCTGTCTCCCATCTGCACCTCTGCCTTTCATACCCACCCCCTGTAATGACAGCAGGCCTAGGACTGGCAAGATCAAGCCCCAGCACAGACCACTTTTTGCTTTTGGTCTAAAGAGGTGCCTTCTCAATGAGGAGCTGGTGTGAGAGGTGGGGACATGCCAGTACCAGGCAGGGGTCAGGCACTTGGCTCTTTCAGGGGTGGTGGGAGCTGGGCGACCCTAGGGGTGGTGAGGCACCCACCGAGAGACCAGTTGCAACTGATCATCTCCTCGGCTCAGTCTGGAGCAAGGAGGGGGAGAGGAGAACACACCGACCTTCCCTGTCTGTCATCTGGCCTGTGGGACCCCTGGCAGCTGTCTGCACAGGACAGCTTCCAGAGGCTGGGGTGCTACACACAGGCACCGGCAGGCAGACACTGAGCCACCTCTCCACACGTGGTGCCCGTACAGTTCCGTAAGCTCTGTTGATCCTTTCCCCTTTTGTTGCCAGAGCTGCCACGAAGGCCGCTGCCCGCTCATGCTGACCGAGTGCCCCGCGTGCAAAGGCCTGATCCGCCTTGGTGACAAGGAGCGCCACTCAGAGCACGAGTGTCCGGAGAGGAGCCTGAGCTGCCGGCACTGCCGCGCACCCTGCCTTGGGGCAGACGCGAAGGTGTGTGGGGTGCGGAACAGCCTGTGCGGCTGTCGCTGCGCTGGGACGGGCTGGCTTGGCTGCTTCGTGGTTGTCTCTGGGCCTCAGCCCTCTCCCTGAAGCCAAGAGAGGAACCAGGCACGGGTGTGAAGTCAACACCAAGTACTTTAAAAAGCGCGTTTATCCTAGAAAAGCTGGAACACTCCCAGGTAGAGAGTGGCAGCAGGTGCTGTATCACCTCGCTCCGTGTCAGCCTCACAGCTGAAAAGGCCTGGGCATCGCACCCTAGACTGTCACTCGACAAGTCCGCCTTTGTGGCGTTTCCTCCCAGATTGCTCAAAACGTGTCTCTACAGTGCACAGAGCTACGCTGTGTTGTTCCTGCTGTAATTGCTCTCTGTCACTTGCTGGCTGTGTCCACATTCCCCACGTCTGTGCCTTTCCCGTTGATTTATTTGAGTCACAGTCCAGACAGGGTCCCTCTCTGTGTTTCATCGCAATGTCTCTGGGGTCTCTCAGTCTTGACTAGTTCTCTGTGGGCGTCTTTTCTTCCTGGGATGTTCATCCTTGAGGATTCCCGCTGCAGTGTTTTGCTGACGTTGTCCCCAGGTGTCAGTAAGGTGCTCCTCTGCCCCTGCTTCCTGTGGACTGTCAGGTGTACAGGGCTGACCAGAGTTTTCTGGGGCGGGCAACCCACAGCAGCACATCAGGCCCCTCTTGGAGGTGTCCTGTGCTCGGCCAGCCCAATCCATCTGTCAGAAAGTGCCACTAGCTTCGCATCTCCGGCCAGAGCAGCCATTCTCCACCCGTGGACAGGCCCGCCATTTCAGTTAGGGTTGCAAAATGCTGATGCTCTCCTTTCAGACCATCTCTAGTGACTTTGTCTTCCTCGTGTTGCCCTGGAGGCCAGCAGGACGCAGAAGAGAGTTTTAAAATCTCTGACGCTCCTGGGTGGTGCCTGCAGGATCCTGCACAGGGTAGAGGGTGACCCGAGCATTCCAGGGGCCACTCGGGCGCTGGCCACAGCCTGAGAGTTGTGCGCATCCACTCCCTACCCCACTCACCACCCTGGCTGTCGTCCATACTGACACTCCTGACTGCTTCTCTCTAAGGCTCACCACGAAGTCTGCCCCAAGTTCCCCCTGACGTGTGACGGCTGTGGCAAGAAGAAGATCTCTCGGGAGAAGGTAAGTTGTTCCTCACACCTCTGAAGGCTACAAGGTCAGGGCCCAAGTATTGGCACTGAGGGTCCCTCACTGCATGGTGCGGGGGAGGATTAGGACCTAGCGTCCAAAGGATCAGAGTGCTGTGAAGTGTCAGGGTGCTAAATGCGCTCAGGTGTGACAGCCACTCCCCTGAGTGTGCCAGTGGCTAAGTCTAGAACCCCTTTCTTTATTCTCCAGTATATGCTGTTACTTACTTTTGGGCAAGCCACTTCCTAATTATTCTGCAAATTAAACATTAAAGTCGTCATTACCCTCCATGTGCTGTTCATGAGAGATGTTGGTCTTGACCTTGAAGCTTGCTATTTGCAGCAGGTGCTTTGGTGTAGAGATGGGGACCTCAGGCATAGTCTGCAATAGCAACAGAACACTGATGCCTCGGCACTGGCGCAATTTCACTTCCTCACGTTCTTGTCCTGTAAGGAAAAGGGCTTCTTGCCCAGGAGTGAGTTCGCTGCTCTGATGCCACCTTTAAGAAAGGAAGTTGGGGCTGGGCGTGGTGGCTCATACCTGTAATCCTAGCACTCTGGGAGGCTGTGGTGGGAGCTTGAGCTCAGGAGTTCAAGACCAGCCTGAGCAAGAGAGAGACCCTGTCTCTACTAAAAATAGAAAAATTAGCCAAGCATGGTGGTGCACCTGTAGTCGCAGCTACTCGGGAGGCTGAGGCAGGAGGATCACCTGAGCCCTGGAGTTTGAGGTTGCTGTGAGCTGTGATGACATCACTGCACTCTAGTGGGGACAACAGAGAGCCTGTCTCAAAAAAGAAAAAAAGTAATTTGGGAAATCTGCATGGACACTTATTTTCCCAGGGCTGGGGAGGTGAGGGTAGCTTGCCCAGGGAGGCTGAAGCGCAGAAGGGGATGCAGCACCTGCTCTGGTGGCAGAGGGCAGGCGGGGAGGGCTCTCGGGCAGTGGCCTGTGTCTGGGCGGCAGCACATGAGCCTCAAGCTGGCAGAGCCCTCTGCCCGCTCAGCCCTTCAGGCATGTGCCCCCTCGTCTACCTATCTGGTTTGCTCCCATTTAAATGCAGGTCACAGTCCAAGTTCTGAAATGGGTGGGGCTGGGGGCCCAGGGGGGCCTCTCTTCTCGCCTAATTCCAGCTGTCACATTGAGTGTCCTGCACTGTGGGTTTGGCCAAGTGCCATTTGACCTTCACCTGGGTGCTGGTGCTCACTCTAGCAGCTTGATGTGAGGTTCAGGCTCTGTTGCTGCCGGGAACATGTAGAGGGCTGTGGCTGACGGGATGCCACCTTGGGAGGCCAGCCTGTCGGCCTGGCGCCTTGTGTCTGCGAGGGCAAGCTTGATCTCGGTGACAGGTGCTGTCCCTGCTGGGCATGGCCTGGAGATTCCCCTGCCTATACCCTCATCTCCATCAGCTCTTCGGTTGTCCTGGGCTGGTTTGTACTGAGCAGTGAGGAGTTTATTCTTTACTTGAGATTTTCTTTTTTCAGAGTGAAAGACAGATGCCAGTCAACCCAGTGGTGTCAGTGGCTTTGTTCCTCCTCCCTGAGAACCTGTGTCTTTGTGTCCCTTTCTCTCTCCTTCTTTCTGTCTCCCTCCTTCCCCCCCCCTGCCCCGTCTTGCCGTGGGGACCACGCGGCTGTCTCTTCTCCAGCCTCTTTTCCAGCCAGAGCCCTGGTGTGTCTCTCCAGGCCCCTCCCCACTGGTGCTGCCAGGGCAGCTGCCCGGCCTCCCTGGATGCCCTAGCTCTGGCCCCTCAGTGCCGAGTGGCCTCTAGGGACTGTGGTCTCTGTGCCCCTGCAGGGGTTTGTAGCCCTAGGCCTTTCCCGAGGAAGGGGCTGAGCAGGCTTTCCCACTGACATTTGTGACTTCTGTGTGATATTCTAGGGGGTTTTTTCTATCTTTTTAAATTTTATATTTATATTTCTTTTATGCTGAAAATCTTGATTCCTAGCAGTAACACATTAACTTACTTGCTTTATCCTTTACATACAGTAGGTTTAAAATAAAAATAGACATATTATTCTGATAATACCACTGAATTAAGTTTACTGTTTCTTTGAAGTTCTTTCTGTCCTTGACAGTACGTCTTACAGAGATTTGTGGTCCAAATACTGTTTTCTGAGGTCAATTGGAATAAATTTTTTCTTTGTATTTATGTCAAACTTGGTATACAGTTAGTCAGTTGATTTGCTTCAGTTTCTTTTTAAAATTTAGGGATTTTTAAAAATTTTACTTTTGTGCTTTGATTATGTAAAACATGTACATAAATCGGACAGTCAGTGCCGTGACTAGGAGCAGCTCCCTCCTGGTCCTGTTCCCTCCCCCTGCCCCACTTCCTAGAGTGGCGCTGCTGGGGGGACTGGGGTTGGGCTCCTCAGCCCCGTTTCCTGGGACACATGCAGGACTGAGCCGAGTGGGAACGTGGTGTGTTGGGAGCTAGTGCTTTGGACGCTGGTCTGTGGGGCTTGCTGGACAGGAGGAGGGGCCTTTGGGGGGCTCAGTAGGCGAACACCGTGCCCTTGTGTCAGATGGGGCATCTGTCCGTTCATGATGTGTTCGTGATGTCACTGACAGTAACTGCAGGCAGGGCTTGAGGGGGTGTTTGCATTTGTTAGGGGCTCTGGGAAGTTGCCCTCTCACCCTCACAGAAACCCCAGGGGGTGTCACTTATCAGGGGAGGAAACTGATAGGAAACTTATCAAGGAGGCCAGACAGTTACCTGCCTTCCATCTCCGCAGGCCTTGCTGTGGGCGGGGTGGTGGGACTCTGGTCTCCCCTCATTTTCAGCAAGGCCTTCTCCCCAAACCTGCCCTCCCCAGGCGTTAGCGCCCTGCCCCCAGCATGCCACAGGTGTTCCTGTCGCTTCTTGTTCAGCTTTCTGTGACGGAAATTTCCAAGCCCCACAGAGCTGGAGAGAATGCAGGGGCCCTACTGAGGCTCAAGATGAGGGTGCCTGGTGCCAGTTTCGCTCGTTCCTGCCTCCGCCTCACCCAGCCCAGCGTTTCATCTGAAAGTAATTTGGCAGCAGTGGAAGGATCTTTGCTTTATTTTTGTGAGAAATACATCGTGGATTCATACCGATGTTTCCATTTCAGATTCTTGCCTAACTTATGGATCTCTCTCTCTTTCTGCAGAAAATCGTAGTCTCTAATGACATTAATAGGTTTGTTTTAGTCTGTTGTGAGTAGTCAAAGTACCAATGTTAGCACTAACTATGATCAGTAGCTACTCCCGTGACGATGAAGATTTCTCTGTCGTTCTCTTTGCTTTTAGAGTCTGTACATTGGAATTGCTGCATTGTGGACCCTTGAAGCAGCCGTTCCGAGCGGGCCGTGTCACTGCACTGTTGAGGCATTTGTTTCATTTTGCTTTTGACTTTTAAAGATTGTTCTTTAAAAAAAAATGTTTTACAGTCTTATAAAATGGTTACGGGGCACCAAAGGGAAAGCTAAAGAAAGGTGCCTTTCAGGACATCAGAGGGGAGTGTGTGTCAGGTTCCCCTTCCGGCTCCTGGACGTTGTCTGGCAGTGTAGAAACCTGCATCCCTGTCCGCAGTGCGGGAGCGCTGTCCCCGCAGACGTGCCCACAGCGTGCCGTGGAACTTGGATTTTCGCCTGTACGACGTGTGAGAAATATAGTCGGCCCTCTGAGTCTGTGGGTTCCACAACTGGGGATTCAACCGACTGCAGGTCAAAAATATTCAGAAGTCCTAGCACTCTGGGAGGCCGAGGCGGGGGGATCGCTCGAGGTCAGGAGTTCGAGACCAGCCTGAGCAAGAGCGAGACCCCGTCTCTACTAAAAATAGAAAGAAATTAGCTGGACAACTAAAAATATATAGAAAAAATTAGCCAGGCATGGTGGCGCATGCCTGTAGTCCCAGCTACTTGGGAGGCCGAGACAGAAGGATCGCTTGAGCCCAGGAGTTGGAGGTTGCTATGAACTAGGCTGACACCACGACACTCTAGCCCGGGCAACAGAGTGAGACTCTGTCTCAAAAAAAAAATATATTCAGAAGGAAAAATTGCATCTGTACTGAACATGTACAGACTCTTTTTTCTTGTCAGTAGTCCCTGAACAATACAGTACAACAGCTATTTACATAGCATTGCGTCGTATGAGGTATCACGATACAAGCGACCTAGCAACGCGGTCGAGCTGGCGAGGGCACGTGCTGCACGGGTTGTGTGTGGACACCACGCCATTTCACGGGGGCCAGTGTCCCTTCCGGGAGGATTTTGGTACTCTCAGGAGGTCCTGGACCCAATCCCCAGGGATGCTGAGGGCAGTTGTGATTTGTGTCTCAGACTGTGGACGTGATCAAACACTTTCGCTTAAGGTTCACCTGCAGTTCTCTTGCAGGGAAGCGTCTGTTCCTGACTCGCCCAGGTGGTGGTTTTGGGTTTTCGGTGGTCTGGAGAGGCACTGTTCAAGGTTTTTCTGTTATTGTTTCTAGAAATAGATTCATAGTTAAGACCTTGTCCCCATTCCCAGGTGTGGAGGAAATCCCCTGCTTCCTGCTGGTATTTGTGGGTTTGATTGTCTCACATTTAAAGCTCTGATAGACTCACCACGCCGCCTGGGAGAGGGAGGAGAGACTTGTGTTTAGTTCTGTCCCTCTGGCTGTTCCCTCGTCCTTACACGGGCTATTAAGACGTTAGTCTTTCTTTCCTCCACTGATCTGAGATGCTGCCTCCATCACGTATAGGTATCTGTGCGGCTGGCCCCTTTCTGGATTCGTGTTCTGATGCGCAGTCGGTGTCCCGCACCACCAAGTACTAAGTGAGTGGTGGCGTTTGACTCTGGGGGAGGCCGGCCTCGCCTCGTGCGAGGTGACACCGAGGCCCTGGGGCCTCCACCTTGCACATCCCGGAGACGGTGGTAGAGACGGGTGCTCCTTTCTGGGACGCTGCAGGCACCCCAAGATACTCGCCCACCCCAGTTACGAGCAGGCGCGTGTGCACTCGTGTGTTTGCGTGCGTGCAAGCGTGCAGCTGTGGAAATGCGCTCTCAGGTTCATCCAGCGCAGCGATGAGGAAGCCGACAGCACGGGTCTGACAGCCCTGTGTGTAAAGTCTGTCTTGGTCAGTGCAGAGGTGGTGAGTGTGCCAGAACAAACGTGACCTCTGACATTGTCCCCTTGCAGTTCCAGGACCACATCAACACCTGTGGCAAGTGTCGGATCCCCTGCAGATTCCACGCCGTTGGCTGCCTGGAGACGGTGAGTTGAGGGCTGGCAGTGAGGTCTTGGAGCTGGCAGGCCACCCCCATCCCGGACACGGTCTTCGCTCAGCCTCCAGCCCAGCTCCTCGAGGTTTTCTCCCAACATCCCTGGCAGCGCCGCCTCCTGCCCCAGTGTCCTAATGTCCCAGGCCGCCACCCACTCCCATCCTTCTGGTGGTCTCATAGTGCCCCTGGCTTTGACCAACACCGTACTGAGAACGCCCAGACCTGAGTATCCACCTGTCGCCTTGAGCCTCCCCAGATGTTAGGTGGACATCTCAGACTTACCGCAGCCTTGACTGCTCCACAGCTGCTGTCCCTGTGCCCCCCGCCTTGTCCTCCCAGCTCCCCAGAAAGGGAGCAGTCCAATTCTGATTTGCAGTCCGTGTCCCGCACCACCACGTGCTGAGCAAGTGGTGGGCGTTTGACTCTGGGGGAGGCCGGCCTCTCGTCGTGCGAGGTGACACCAAGGCCCTGGGGCCTCCACCCTGCACATCCTAGAGACAGTGGTAGAGACAGGTGCTGCTAGAGCCCTAACCCTCGGCTCTAGCCAAAGCCCCTGGCACTGGGCAGTCATCCGGGTCCCTCCTCCTCTCTCACACACTTGTCCAGTCTGACCGGGAGCCTGGACTGCCTTCAAGTGTCACCTAGACCTGCCCCCCCATCACTGTCCTGCCCTGGACACAGGCCTCCATTGCTCACCTGCCTTCCTGTCCACTCCTGCTTGCTCTGTTTTGTTTACACATGGAGATCAGACCACAGCACTTCCTGCAGGAGAACCTTTTTGTGGCTTCTGCTGTCACACCTCACCAGTGATTCAAGAATCATGTTCCCCGCCGCCTCCCCCTGCAACCTCTGACCTCACCTCTGCTGCCTGCTCTCTGCCCTGGTCATTGGCCTGGCCATCTTTGAGCACACCTGCTGTTCCCGCCCAGGCACGTCTCACACCAGGCAGGTGTCCAGGCCTCTGTCCATGTGGACCCCGTCCTACCCATGCAGACAACCCCAGCCCGAGTCAGCACTCAACGTCCTTGTTCCTTGTCTGTCTTGCCCCCTGCAGCCAGTGCCCCTTGAGGTCAGGACCCTGTTGTGTCCGCTTGAAGGGGCACTGGGCCTAGAGGCAGCCCCTAGCCGAAGTGGTGGACCCTCCCCTGGCCAGCCAAGGGGCTGGGCACAGGGCAGCCCTCCAGGCGCGCACCTCCCCTGCTGTGAAGACAGGGACTTTTCACGGCGTCTGTAGTGAGGAGGTTGAGGTGGTGGTCTTATTTGGTGACTTGATTATATATAACTCCAGCTATTTTATTTTTGTTTTTTTCTAGTAACGGTAAAAAAAGACTGTACCTGCCTCCATTTTTCTCATGTGTGTTGGGTGGTCTCCTGCTTTCTGTGTGGCACAGGTCTTGTCTGGGACGCTTCCTGCTCAGACCCAGCATCTGCCACCTCCAGGCAGCCTGGGTCCCCGGAGCAGGATGAAGTATTAGAGACCACCGCCCGGGCCATGGTGCTCGCTGCTGCTGCCCTGGTCCTCTTAATGGTCAGAGAGAAGATAAGTGCACCAGGAGTCTGTGGTGACACTTCCCGTTCAAGCTGAGGACGTTTGCGTCGACCTTGCTGGTCTCCCCCGGCCCGGCAGGCCGGGTCCCAGGCTCAGCCGCAGTTTGCTTGTTCCACATTACACGTCACAGTCCCAGCAGTGTCACTGCTTGGAAAGGACGTCGGCGTTCTCCCGTCCAGCTCTTGTCTTTGTGTGCCCTCTGCTCTCTAACTGGGTACACGTTTATTCATGGATCCATTTGTTTCTTTTAACTTTAATTTTTCCAGTATCTTTAACATTTTTAATTTTGTTGCAGAAGTTTGAAAATAATTTAGTAGCAAATCGAGCTCTGTAAAGTATGGTATATCTAAGCAAGCCTGGCTTCTACCCCGCGCTTCATTTTCTCCTTACCCCTGTGAGCAACTTATGAAAAATGGTGTTTTCTTCCTTTTTGTTTTAAATAAAAGCAAGTAGTTACACATGAAGGTTAATATTTTTTAAACATACTTGACTTTCAGATAGTGACAAATGCTGTCATGTAAACAAGAAGGATAAAAGTCACTAAGGCCACGCCATGACCAGGTCCTGGGCATTCCTGTGCTCTGACCTCTGTCCCAGGTCGGAACTAACTGGTGCCAGCAGCCTCCCCGCCCTGTGTCCGCAGGTGGAGAGAGAGAAGCAGCAGGAGCACGAGGCGCAGTGGCTGCGGGGGCACCTGGCCATGCTGCTGAGCTCTGTCCTGGAGGCAAAGCCCCTCTCGGGAGACCACAGCCAGGTGGGGCCGGAGCTCCTGCAGCGGTGTGAGACACTGGAGAGGAAGACGGCCACCTTTGAGAACATCGTCTGTGTCCTGAACCGGGAGGTGGAGAGGGTGGCCATGACTGCGGAGGCCTGCAGCAGGCAGCACCGGCTGGACCAAGACAAGATCGAAGCCCTGAGTAATAAGGTCTGCACCTGGGGGAGGGCGGCATAGTGCGTGCCCCGGCAGGTTCTAGCAGGTCAGGAGCTCCAGGGCCTGGACACTGGAACTCCATTTGCAAACCCCTGTCCAGGATAGTTTCTCCCTGAGGCTTTGGCCACCTTGGTTTCTGAGCCCCATTCTCTGAGGGACCCAACTCCAGGGTCATGGAGGCCACAGGCTGGAGCCTCTTCTCTCCAGCCGGGAGGGCAGTGTTAACAATGGCATGTGCCAGGCACAGTTTGGCTCCTGAGTGTGTTTCTGGCCGGGAGCCTTCTGTGTGGACTGGGAGCTCCCACCTCACATCGGGGAGGGGGGTCCCATGGGGAGGGACGAACTCGACAGAAGCCTCACCCGGAGTGCCCCAGGAGCACTGGGGATACCATCCTGCTGGGGACCGGTGGTGTGGGAGGCAGGACGCCGTGCCCACTCCCTTCCTGTGAGCGGGAAGGTGGTCTTGCTGCCGGGCAGGTGCAGCAGCTAGAGAGGAGCATCGGCCTCAAGGACTTGGCGATGGCTGACCTGGAGCAGAAGGTCCTGGAGATGGAGGCGTCCACCTATGACGGGGTCTTCATCTGGAAGATCTCAGACTTTGCCAGGAAGCGCCAAGAAGCTGTGGCTGGGCGCACGCCAGCCATATTCTCCCCAGGTGTGGTTTTAGAACTCCTGCCCCCGACCGCTGCTGCTTTCCTCTCAGTAGCCACATGGAATGGCTCCCAAGGGCAGGGCTGGGACATCCTCAGCTGACCCCAGGAGCATCTGCACCTCCCTGAGGGAAGAGTCAGGCAGCTGAGGTGTGGGACAGGTGGTGTGTCCCCTTGGTCAGGAGCTGGGGGTGTCAGGCTAGCTGCCCTCCCCATGCACCTGCCCTCTGGTTTGCTCTTTGTCACCCACACACAGCCTTGTCTTTGGGCATACAGAGCCTCGGAGGGCTATGGGGGTGGCTGTGGGGTTGGGGAGGTACGGCAGGAGGCAGAGGATGGCGCTCTCGGGTGTCAGGGCTGAGCTAGTCCAACTCTCCTCCACCTCCCCCACCAATTCAGCTTCCAGCTTTTGCTGCAAGCAGCCCTGTGAGGGTGTCTTTCGTACTCCTTTTCTTCACCCCCAACTATGGGGTCTCTTGAGGGGTCCTCCTGGGGTCTCCTCTGGAAGGCAATGCTGGAGGGGGCAGGGCAGGGCTGCTGAGCTGCAGGCTTCTGCCAGAACCTTGCCTCTCAGCACTCCAGAGGCAGCCCCTCGAGGTCCTCTGGGACCTCCTGAGGGCCCAGCCACCGTCTGTGTCCCTGCTCAGATGTTTCATAGACTTGCACCCCGGGGGATCAGAACATGCCTTGTGTGTACTCTGCTTTCACGTTTACCTGCTGCAGAGATGTGGGCACCTCTGCTGCGTGAGTTTAACTTGGCTCTGCTAGGTAAGTCCCTGAGTGCGAGGGATTGCCTTGCTGTGCTCCTGCGCCGTTCCAGGCCAGGGAGCCCTAGGCGGCATCTGGAGGGGGCACCTCCTGTGTGGAGGCCACCATCCTCCTCTGTGTGGCATGTCCTGACTGTCTTCAGCAAGAGCCAGGTGTGAACAAAAATCACACATTCTTTGTTTTGTGAGTCGAGATAGGAAAAACAAAAGTTTGTTGTAGGGAAAACTTGAGAGTGCGCTCTTTCAGGTGGCGTCCTCTCCTGTGCAGGTGGGCTGGTTCAGCAGAATTGTCCCTGCTGTGGTTCGGGTTCCTGGGAGCTCTGGGAGAGAGTGAGGTGAAGGGTCAGTGGCGCAGAGGCCTGGCCACAGCGACTGTCTTCGTAGGAGCCGCGCTTGGGCGAGAGGCCTGTTTGCGTTCAGTGTCTGCTTTAGGCGATGCTGGGAGCTGGGCTTGCACACTGGGTGAGGACAATGGCCGGGAGGCTCCCCTGGCAGGACGGAGCTGTCAGGATCACGGTCTGCAGATTTTGTTTGCACGTATTATATCAAGTGCCTTAAACACACAGCCTCAACCGTGTTATGGCTGTTGCTCGTTTTCTGTGCATCTCATTGGGGATGAGGGACGTCTGTTGACTCTGCTCTTCTGGATTTCACCCCAGTTTTCGCCTTTTCCAAGGCGGACGTGGCCCCAACCCACAGCCCCAGGCCAGGCTGGGCTCCCTCTACGGCTTTGCCCGGCCACCACTGGGTGGTTCTCACCTTCTGCACCACCTGCCCCAAATTCGTAGTTGTTCCTTGCCTTGCCAGTTTGAAGACTACATTTGGGGTTCTTAAAAATGCTATTTCTAATTACTGTGCTTTTTAAGAAAGAAATTTGTTTTCATTAGCAACTAACTGCACAGTTTGAGAAAACAAATGCTGTCTTTGCATCGCCAGAACCCGAATGTTTCTGTGTGTGTGTTCCTGTTCTCCAGGGAGGGCAGCCAGGTGGAGAGAGCCGCTCCCTGCCCTGCCTTCGAGGGGGGTGGCTCACTGGTGCCTCTCCTGCTCCCCAGCCTTCTACACCAGCAGGTACGGCTACAAGATGTGTCTACGCATCTACCTGAATGGAGACGGCACCGGGCGAGGGACACACCTGTCTCTGTTCTTCGTGGTGATGAAAGGCCCGAACGACGCCCTCCTGCGGTGGCCCTTTAACCAGAAGGTGCGAGGGGCCTGTGGGCTTCCCTGAGGGCAGCACGTGGGAGAGGCCCTGGGACGGTACAGCTTCCGTGACAGGGTCGCTCAGGCTTGCTGGACCCTGGTGTCTGCGACAGGCGAGTCCTCCTGTGGCACTGCCGCCGCCAGGACCAGCAGCTTGAAAACACTACCTTGGAGAATGTGTTCCAAGAATGGGTTCCAATGGGTTACAACTACTGGGCCCTCTGTATCTGAGGTATAATTCAGTATTTTGAAAACCAGAATCTATTTTTGGTAGAGGAATGGAAGACCCAGAGACTAGGTGGAACGCGGTCCCTTCCCTTCAGCACACTGGGTCTGGGCCCTGCCACGGCCCCTCCCTCCCTGTAGCCGGGAAGGAGGCAGAGCAGAGTGGGTGGGGTGGGCGGGGGACCCGCATCAGCCCTGGGCGCCAGGGTCCCAGGCCTGACGGAGGCAGTCTCAGGTTCTGCCTGAAAAGGGCTTTTCCTTTAGGGTAGGCATTGGGTGCTTCATGATCTCTGGCAAGAAAATGTCTTTGTCAGGTTGTCAGATGAGTATTATTATGAAAAAGCACAAAATAACACAAATTCAGAAGTGCCAAGCTCTGGCTAAGAGTCCAGATGTCAGTGAACAGAAAATGCCAGCGTGGGCAGGCGCGACGCTCGGCACACCATGGCTGACGTGCCAGGCACTCCCTCCCTGCAGCCTTGGCCTCTGCTCTGGGCCTGGGGTGGGCATGTGTGTGGCTGTGTGTGTCCAAACCCCTGGGAGCGGGGCTCAGGCACTGACAGACCCGTGTCCCTCCCTGGGGCTCTCTCTCCAGGTGACCTTAATGCTGCTGGACCAGAACAACCGGGAGCACGTCATTGATGCCTTTAGGCCGGACGTGACCTCATCCTCTTTTCAGAGGCCGGTCAACGACATGAACATTGCCAGCGGCTGCCCCCTCTTCTGCCCCATCTCCAAGATGGAGGCCAAGAATCCCTACGTGCGGGACGATGCCATCTTCATCAAGGCCATCGTGGACCTGACGGGGCTCTAGCCACCACCCACCAGAGGCTGGGGCAGCCGGGCACAGCTGGCTCAGTGAGGGGCCGCCACGCTGGGCCAGGGCCTCACCGCACAAGGGTGGGTAGGGGCCAGGTTTGGGCACTTGGGAGGTTGTCACCGAAGCCCAGGTCAGCGTCATGCAAGGAGGGCGCCGCTGGCCAGTCCTCAGATCTCTGACTGCGTGGAGGCACCAGGGAGATGGGCGCACCCAAGGCCCTGGTGGGATCAGCCAAGGATCTTCAAGGGCTCCTGGCGGAAACCGCCCTTGCTGTCTGTTCTGTACAGAAGGGAAAGGCCCTTGGGTGGGGGTGCTCAGAGGGGAGCACATTCTAGTAAGGGGCTTCAAGCAGGGCATGCACAGCGGGAGTGTGGCGGGCCGCTTCATGGTCAGTAGGTGGGGCTGCCCCAGTCTGTCCACAGAGCGAGGAGCACCAGGCTGCTCCGTTCTGCCCTCAGGCCCCTGGAGGGAAGGGAGCGTTGTTAGACCCCTGGGTGCTTGTCTGGACAGAGCTCCCGCCTGCGCTGGCTTGGCCGGGCCAGCAGGCAGGAGAGGGCGCTGGTCCTGCGCAGTCCAGCCCCGCCGGGCGACGTGTGTTAGCTGCACCATCCGGCTGAGAAGTCGTTATTAAACCGTTCAGATCTCTGGTGAGTGGCGTCCATTTGGCTCTAGGTTGCCTGCGGCTTCCAGCCTTGGCAGTGGTGACTCTCTCTGGGGGCCCTGTGGCTCCCTCCCCTCAGGTGCCTGGCCCTTGCCCACTTCTCCAGCCAGCCATGGGCCTCCCAGGGGCACCTGTGAGAGCAAGGCCACATGCGTGCCACCCAACCCTGCTTGAACTCAGAGCTTAGGGGTGGGGTGAGGACAGTCCCCAGGCACATTGCCTACCATAGTGCGTGTGCTCGGGACGGGGGTTGGGGGGCCGTGCTGCACTGCCTGGGCCTGGTGGGGCATCCTTATTAGGAGGTCTGTGAAAAGCTTCACTTGCCCTTGACATCCTCCCTGTCTTCTATAGTTTGAGAAGTTAACACAATGGAAAAGCACAGAAAGCAACAGCCCAAGCACCGTGACCACCCTGTACGCGTTTGCACCATGCACGTGTGTGCTGTCATGAAAACGGGAGCGTGGCAGGGTCGGCCCCTCTGTTCCCTCCGCAGCCCGTCACCGTAGCTCTCCAGGGCAGCTTGCCATGAATCATGTGCCTGTTCTACCTTGGGTGTAAAATTCTGTTTCTGAGCATTTGTGTGTCCACAGATAAGAGCATTGCATTTTAGAAACACAGAAACCAGGTACTGAATTGTCCTCGGGTAGCTGTTTCCTACTCCACCCTCATGGTCGTGCTGCCGTGTGGTGTCCTGGGGAGAATGCACCCCAGTTCCGTGCTGCTCCTGAGCTCTGTCCTCGGTTGCCGAGGGTGGGGACAGTGGTGCAGAGCTGCTCTCCAGCTTTGGCTGGCCTGGAGGGAGCGCTGAGGGGTGTTGGGTCCCTGCCTTGCCTAGTGGTCACCAGCTTGCTCTGCAGAGCACCGGGGGAGGTTCCCATTGCCTCTCATCCCTCCCAGCACTTCACGTTGTTGGGCTTTAACTACTGTGTACAGTCTGCTGTGTGGGAGATGGCGTGTCATCATGACTGGTGTTTCTCTGGTGACTCAGTGGGGTTGGTCGTCTTTATCAGGCTGCAGTGCAGTGGCACTGTCGTAGCTTACTGCAACCTCAAACTCCTGGGCCCCAGCGATCCTCCCACCTTGGCTTCCCAGAGTGCTAGGATCACAGGTGTGACACTCCGCACTCAGCCCTGTTTATGTCTTTGTTCACTTTCTGCTGGGTTCCTGGTCATGTTTTCTACTGGTTGGTAAGAGTTCCTAAGACTCCTGGATACTAGTCCTTCGTTGTATCTTTGAGCTGTGTGTGTTGTTGATGTACAGATATTTAAGATTTAGATATGATCAGTTGAATCATCTTATCTGTTATGAATGGTACTGTTTCTGACTTAAAAATCCTAACCTTCCCCAAGGTTGAAAGATACTTTATTGTTTTCTTCTAATGGTTTTAGTTTTCTTTTTAACATGGTGGGTTTCTACATTTGGGAATTTGTTCATATATGATATTTTGTTATTAGGTCAACACAGGTTAAAGAGATAGATCACTGAGGTCATTTCCTTTCCCTTAAAAAGAAATAGAACCATGAAGTGAGAAGAATGGGAAGTCCCTCCCACAGGGACAAAGGGAAGAAGGCAGCAGCGGGTGAAGGATTTGGGCCGCCTTTGGAAGGTGGGGCGTAGGTTGAGGCGAGCGGTATCTGAGCAGAAGGGGGCTGAGGGTGGGGAGCTGCCCACCATTTGAGCCCCTGGGGTGGGGGGAGAGTCAGAGCAAAAGGGGGTCTGCTCAGAGATGGCAGAACAGCCGCCTGGCAGGTCCTTTGCTGTCCCTTGCCTTCCCCAGGGAAGGAGGCCTCTGCCCTCCCCACACTGGGGCAGAGACCAGGGTTGGCTGGAAAGAAGAAGCTGCCGAAGGGGCAGAGGTGTGCACAGAACTGCTTCCCGAGCGCTGGCTTCCAGGCAAGGACACGCCCAGGGGGACTGAGGCCTCCGGGGAGACTGACGCTCCAGGCAGGCTGTGGCAGGCCCCGTCCTGCTGCCTCGGTGCCTCTGCTCACGCCCTCTGCGTTCCCACTGTGGGGAATTTCATTACCCTAGAAAGAAACCTTCCATCGGTAGTTACTCCATCCCCTTTCCCCAGCCCCTGACAACCATCATCCATCTCTGGATTTACCTGTTCTGGACATTCTTGTAAATAGAATCCTGTAACATGTGGCCTTTTGTGTCTAGCTTTACACGGCGTATTTTCAGGGTTCATCCACGTTGCAGCATGTGTGAGAATTTCATTCCTTTTTTATGGCTGAATAGTATTCTATCGTGTGGACAGACCGGTTTTATTTATCTGTCTATCTGTCGATGGACAATGGGGTCGTTTCTACTTTTTGGCTACTATGGAAATGCTGCTATGAACATGTGTACAGTGTTTGTGTGGACACGGTTCTGCTCTGAGTATTCCCAGGGGTAGAAACTCCAGGCCACGTGTTCAGCTCTTTGAGGAGCTGCCAAACTGCTTCCCACAGCGACTGCACCGTTTTGCATATCCATCGAGAAGCAGTTTTTAGTTTATGCTTTTATTTGGCCACCTCCTCCTGTATATTCCACGTTATCTAGAATTTTGATTTTATCATATTTTTCGAACACTAATTTTTAACAATCCCACAGTGACTTCCAGCATTCTGTGTATCTGTCTGCTCACAGATGTTCTGTGTCCTGCCCCTTTGCTTTCCATGACTTGACAAAGAGCATAACGTGACACTCCTGAGCAGTCTGGGCTGCTGCCCTTGCAGGCGCCGTGTGTCTGCACACGGCTTTGTCTCAGCCTCATCTTTAGTGTTGATTATCTGGGTTGGAATTCTGGGTGTGTGGTCGTTTTTTCTCAGCGCTTTTCTCAGTGACTCCACTGTCATTTGGATATATGGCCACTGTAATGTCTGCTGCTCATTTGTCATTTTTTTTTTTTTTGGGAGACAGAGTCTCGCTCTGTCACTCAAGCTGGAGTGCAGTGACATCATCACAACTCACTGCAGCCTTCAACTCCAGGGCTCAAGCGATCCTCCCTCCTCAGCCTCCCAAAGTGCTAGGATTACAGGCATGAGCCACTGCTGCCGGCTTCTTTTTACAGGTAAAATGTGTTTTCTCCCTGATAACTTTAAAATTTTTTGCATAGTAAAATTGGTTTTTTCTTTTGATGTGCAGTTCTGTGAATTTCCTAACCTGTGCAGGTTTACATACGTTCCGCCACAGTCAGGATAAGGATAAGGAGAGCTCCGTCGCCTCAGAGACACCTGCACTCCCTGTGTGGTCACCCTCTCCCACCCATAGCCCCAGGCAGCCACTTCTCTGTCACTGTAGTTTTGTCACATAGATGGAGTCATGCAATGTGCCACTGTCTGAGACCGGCCTTCACTCAGCACAATGCCTTTGAGATTCATCAAGATGTGTGTCAAAAGTTGTTTATTTTGTTTCTTGCTGAGTAGTATCCCATTATATGGATGGACCACCATTTGTTCACCTGTTGGAGGGTATTTGAGTTGTTGCCAGGGTTTTGCAGTTATGAACAGAGCTGCTATAAACATTCGTGTCCAGGTGATTGAACAAGTTTTCATTTCACTAGGGTAGTTAGGAGTGGGGTTGCTGGATTGCACAGTGGTGTATTTTAAATTCATAAGAAAGTGCCAGACCGCTTTCTGGAACACCTGTGCCTCTTTGTGGAACACCAGCACAGGTCTTACAGTTCCTGTAGCACCACATCCTCTAAGTACTTGTATTGTCCGTGTTTTTTATCATAACTGTTGTAATAGGTGTGTAGTGGTATTTTGTCGGGGGTGCAATTTGCATTTCTCTTATATCTGATGAATGATGTTCTTCTTTGGTGAAGTGTCTGTGTCTTACCTGTTTTTAAATTGGGTTGTATATTTTCTTGTTGAGTTTCAGGGTTATTTATATTATCTAGATGCAAGTCCCTAGCCAGATATGTAATTTGCAAATATTTTCTGCCAGTCTGTAGCTTATCTGTTCATACTTCTCAACAGTGTCTGTTTCAGAACAAGTAAGCTTTAATTTTGATGAGTCCTGTTTATCAACTTTTTCTTCCATGGAGTGTGCCTTTGGTGTCATGTCTGATTCTTTGAGTAACACCAGATCCTGATGATTTTCTCCTATAATTTATTCTAGAGTTCTCATTGTTGTACATTTTACGTTTAGATCTGTGATCTGTTTTCAGTTAATTTTTGCATAAGGTGTGAGGTTTAGGTTAAGGTTTTTTTTTTGCGTCTAGATGGCCAGTTGTTCCAGCATCATTTCTTCAGATGACTAACTCGTGGCTACACATGGAATTACAACCTCTCTTTTCTCCATTAACTTGCTTTTTCATTTGAAGAAAGATCCTTTCTCCATTGAATTATTTTTTTTACTTGTATAAACGCTAATTTGTCATATTTATGAGACCTGTTGTGTTCGTTTGATCTGTGTACCTGCTTCTTCCCCTGCACTGCTTGGTCTTACTTGTTACGCTCTAATAGTATTAGATCAGGTGCTGTAATTCCTCTAACTTTATTCTTGTTTTTCAAAATTGTTTTAGCTATTTTTGTTCCTTTGCTGGTACATAAAAATTTTAGAATCAGCTTATCTATATCTACCAAAAATCCTGCTGGGACTTTTTTTTTTTTTTGAGACAGAGTCTCACTGCGTTGCCCTGGCTAGAGTGCCGTGGCGTCAGCCTAGCTCACAGCAACCTCAAACTC